AAAAATTGGTATCGTTGCATCCCTAATCCTGACGCACACACAGTTGGGTATTCATATCATGTGTGGACATAATGCTTTTCCTAGCCTCTTACCCTAACCATGAAAAATAAATGGCTAATCCCAACTCTTACCCTAAATATAACCTAATTGTAACTAAAACCACATTTTGTGTCTCAAAATGCCGTCAGACTTGTGGGGACTGGATAAGATATGAATACAAACACACACACTCTAACATTTCTTTCCTCTCAGTCCTAATCTTGAAAAATAAAGTTGTGAGTATTGGACTTCTTTGAGTGCTGCTAAACTGCTAAAAAAATCAAATAAACCACAAAGAGACTGAAAATATTTTCTCTAAAACAGATTTTTGTAAATGAAACAAAACTTTGAAACCAGGTGAAATGTATTCGGAGTTTGTTCCCAGCTTCATTAAACTTATAAACTTTAGAAAAAATGAAAATAAAATGCACATTGTTTTGTAAAAAGATGTACGTCAAAATAAACTATTTCTAACAGGATACTGAGAACATCAGTACTTTGGAAGCCTTGGACAAAAATAAAGAAAGAAATACATTTCCAATTGTGTTTATTTATAAATGACATCACTTCCTGTTGCAGTTAGCTGGTGTCCATGAAAAGGTGATTTCATGCTGACAACGTGATAATGTCTATTCACCCCGTAACAGCTGATCAGATCAATAAAGCATTATATTATTATTATTATATTATTATTATATACATCATATACTATTAGTGGAAGGAAACGTGATGTGTAAGTGCAGCTCCGCACGGTGACTTACGGGGACGTACTGCTCCAGGCGGCCTTGAGGGAAAATACCGTAGAGTTTGGGTCCGAGCTCTCGCTCAGCCAAGATGGCGAACATCACGCTCTCCAGCACCATGGCCTCGGCGCCCTGAAGATACACAACAGCAACACAGTCAACATTTCAGGCAACACGGAGTTCACAGCACCTCCACCGTTAGCTCCCATCACCGCCGCAGAATAGCAAATGAGACAAAGAGCTGTTTCTGGTCACACAGGCTGAAAACGTCAACATTAGAGTGGATGAATCCTCTCCTCAGCTACTCTCAGACACAAGCAGGCTGAATTTGAAAAGGAAAAATGTTCTTTTCAGGGTTTCTGGTAGGCAGCCTGCCAAAGCTGCTTTACATGAAAATCACAGCAGAGTGAAGTGAAAGTCTGAAAGGGGCTTAGGAGGCAATCAGGTGGTGGAGGACAAGGATGGATGATTCTGAATGAGGAGAAATGTTGTGGTTAGGGTTAGTAGGGTTTGCCTGTCAAAGCGGTGAGGAGAAACACAAGAGGTAGATGAAAATCTCCAGGAAGACTTGGCTTTGCAGTTGAAGCTGCTGGAGCAGAGACAGACGGCCTTGTGTTTTCTCGTTTAATCTGAGAGACGCACAAAGCTCCCACACCAAAACATGCAGCCCATGCATACCAGCACAGTCACGTGTCCTCAAAGACAAAACTGCGTGCTTCTGCTGGAAACCAGGCTTCTCACCAAATATGCAACAGGTTTGGAGTTAAGTCCACAGTCGGGTTTCTTACTTTTACTGGAGTTTAGTTTAAGGAAAGTCATGAACAGACCATCCATTCTATTAACCCTTACGCCCTACTTTTAAATCCCGGTAGCTCTGCAACCACGTGAGCTAGCGCAATCATTTTTTT